CTGGCACTGCTGGTGGCCAGTGGTGACATGGCTGGCTGTGCTTCATGGCTGGGGCTGAGGCTGTGGAGCTGTCAGGGTGGGCGCTGGCCTAGGCTCCCTGAGTTGCTGGTGTAGGCTAGGGGAGGTGAGCTCAGTGCGTTGGGCTGTAGGCACCCCAAGTGGCCCTCTGGCAACACATCACCTGGTTGCCAGGCCAGAGCAGGGGTCAGGCAGGCTGCCTGTGCTGCAGTACACAGCATGGCTGCAGCCTGGTTCCTGGGGTGCAAGGATCTCAGCTGCCACATAAAAGGCATGGACTTGTGAGAACTCCCTGACTGATGATTGTGGTCAATTATGGTGATCCACTGTGCCTGCAAGGCCTTGACCTTTATGTGGTACTGTCGCACTGACTGGTAGTGCCTGCACTCCTGCATCCCTCATAGACTTGGGCATTGGGGCTCTTACTCCATGTGAACTGCTGCTGCACCTCTGCCTCACCCCACAGTGCCATGAGGTTGCATGTCTCCTCCATGGATCAGTTGGGGCCCCTATTGGCAGTGGGTGGCATGGGTGACAAGGAGGCCATTGGGGCTCCCACACCGGCTCTCTGAGCCTCCACACAGCTGTCCCTGTGCTGCCGGGCCTGGGCAAATGCCTGCAGCGGGCAGCACTGGGTGCAGGAGCACAGCACGGGACTAGGGGCCACGTGGTGAGGTGATGCCTTACAGTCTCTGCAGGGGCTGGGCAGACTGCTGAGGGTTGGCTGCAGGCAGCTGGAGCTGGCCTTGGTGGCCAGGAGTTGCCTGGAGCTGGGCCTTGGTGCTGACAGACCTGGCAGAAGCCTGTAGCACTCTGCAGGCCTGGACAGCATGGACCTGGCAGCCGTGTACCACTGCAGTACCAGGCAGTGGTGATGGGGTGCAGGCAGGCTGACACAGCTGTCCTGCGGCCTGCGTAGGGGGGCACACTGCCCTGGTGTGGCCTCAGGCTGCCTGCATGTGCCCTATGGCTCACTGTGCCTACAGGCTTTTAAGGGCCTGGGGTTGGGACAGGCATAGAGCCAGTCCAGCCCTGGGGCAGGAGAGGTTCCCAGCCCTGGAGCCCTGGGGCTAGCCTGAGGCTGGCCCCCTAGTGGTGGGGCTGACTGAGAGCAAATTTGCCCCTGGTTGGTGTCCACATGAATGTTACTGCTCAGTGACTACTCACCAGTAAATTTGCTACTTGTAGTTGCAGTTGGCAAATTTACTCATGAGTAGCAATTTTTACTGTGCAGTAAGCATGTGAACATGTAGATGTGCATGGTTACTGCACAGTGAACTATGCTACTGCACTGTAAAGTGTCTCATGCAGAAGTACCCACTGAGTCTCAAGGTGTGTTTACACCAGGGGTGGGCAATTATTTTGGGTGGAGGGCCGCTTACTGAGTTTTGGCAAACCATTGAGGGCCACATGACAGGTAGCCAGGGGCAGATATATATTAATTTTCTAAATTTTTAGGGGCCCCACAGGCTGGATAGAAAGGCCTGGCAGGCCACATCTGGTCTGCTGGCCACATTTTGCCCACCCCTGGTTTACACTGATATTTAGGGTCAACCCTGGGGCTTGCTTACAACCAGCCTGAATCAGCCTTTCCTATTATCTTTCCTTGTAGCCCTCCTCAAAGCCACCCACACTGTGCTTCTTGTTCTTTGAGTGGACCACTATGGGGACCCCATTTTGTACACTGCTTGTCTCTCTTTCTGTGCTTGGCTCTAATTATAGACATTAGATACAGGATATAGAGTACAGAAAGGCTGGAAGTCAAAACAGGGATTTGTGGGACTGTTGCTGTGCTCAAGTCCTATGTATAAAGGTGTGTTGCGAACACATTATATGTTGGGGTGGGCATAGAGGTGAGCAGGGGTGGGTTTGCCCTCAAGCCTGGAAGTTCAACAGGGCTCCCAGAGTGGCCTGCTGTTGGGATTTGAGCACTGATGTTTATAATGCAGAAGGTACGGGCTACAGGACAACTTTAAGGTTGATCCTATCTGTGTAGACATAACCTTAAACTCTAACCCTGAGTAAGTAATTTTGCAGCACAGAATTAAATTATTCATCACTTGATGCTGACCTTCATGCCTAATTCAGCAGGCCTTACTGTTATTCTGACAAATTGCTTAGATTAAACTTTTTCAAAAGTGGCCTCTAATTTTGGGTGCCCAATCTGCATACCTCAAACAATCGGCAATCTAAAGCTGAAGTTTTTAAAATGAAAACATGTAAAAAGAGGCACATTTTTAGACATTTGCCTTAGTGTTTTTTCCTCTTATCCTTCTAATATTATCCATCTACCTCATAGAGGTATGTGCCCACCTGCTTACTAAAAAGCTCTCCGTCAGTTTACTGGTGTTTTCATATGTTGTTGAGTTTGCCTCTAACAACCCTGCTGCAACTGTCCAATCATTGATGCTGTGTGTGTGAATGCAGCCGTGTGGGGCAGATGTGGGGGAGGAAACCCCAATAGGTACATGGGGTGTTAGCAGCAGGCTACCAGTCTTTCCACCTGCAGTTTGCAAAAATTCATGTCTGTAATTTGCTGCACAAAAAGAGAAAGATGAGACATGAGCAGCTGACCAGCTTGCTTCTGCCTGCTGGGTTTGCAGCTTTTGATGACGATGCCAAAGTAGTGAATGGGTGGTGTCATCAAGATGAAACTGTGAGGGTTAGAAACTCTCCTGTTGGGTACCACATAGTAGTGTATTAGATACAAGCCTACGAATTAGGGAAACTGGATGCTCTTCTGCAACTTCTGTTTAGTCTGACTTTAGGCAAACCAGTTCTTTAAACTGAATCTGAGCATGGGTGATTTTGGAGGGACACACTTTTACCTCTATTACTATATGGAGATATCCTGAGTGAACCAACATAGCCACTCAGGCAACAATGCAAGGATCAAAATCAAGCAAAAATGCATATGATTGTATGACTTAGGCAGACAAAGTTCTTTAGACCAACTAAATTGTTGGAAAAATTGTTCTTTGCGAGCTTTCAGGTGCAAACACCCTTTTCCAGGCAAAGGGGGATTCAGGTAGTGTTTTGTATACTCTCCTAGTGACCTGAGTACCTAGCTGGGAGGAGGGGAGCACTGGGTTCCAGTCCCTGCTCCCTGGACTGTGTATACATTTTACATTAGAGAGGCACTAGATATAGAACCGGACTGATCATAATAGCAGAACCCAGAGCTTCCCAGTCCCAACTGTATAGTCCTAACCAGGGGTGAGCAATTATTTCAGGTGGAGGGCCACTTACCGAGTCTTGGCAAGCTGTCAAAGGCCACACTGGTAGTCCTGCCCCTTGGCGGGTACACCGCCCCCTGGTTGCCATCT